CAGGAGCAGCACAGCTACATTGCAGAGCTCACCTTGTTTCCCAACAATGCCAGGCAGGCTTCAGAGTAAAGAAAAGGTAACACAGTCCTGAGACTATAGATAAAAGCCTCAGGGTCGTAACTGTAAGTAAAGGAAAGCTGTGATATCTTTGTCTGTTTCATATTTCTCCCAGAGTCCTTGTGTGACACATACCTTGAAGGGCAGTAATGTGGACTCAATGGAATAACCCAACTGCAGGCACTCTTCAGTATCCAGATTAATTATTTCTCTTTTCCCATATTTAGAGTGGATCTTTTTGTTCTTAATGAGCACAAACGTGACATCAATGGCTCACATGCCTACATCTGTTGTCTTCTGGGATACTGACCCCAGAGACATGGCTTAATACACAGCCTTAAAGTATGCTGTAAAATCTATAAGGTTTTACCCAACAGTGCTGTATTAACTGCATATATTTTCTATGGAAACTGTGGTCTCTGTGCCTGCCTTTGCTAGCAACCAGACAGAGCATCTTTAGATACATCATTAACAAGAGACCAGGAATAAGCTCTATGCTGGTGAATGAAGCCTTTCAATTCAAGCTCTTGCTCCTTAGATACTGTTGACACAGGAGTGCCAGGCTTGCAGTGTGCAAGTAGGAGTTTGCACAGTGGTTGGTCTGATGTGATGCACTGATTCCTCTGGGATTCTCTCTAGACTTGCTTCTAGTAAGTGGTGCCCACTCCCACCCACCAGCTGGCCTGATGCTGCTTTTGGATTCTCCTTGCCTTTTCAGAAGCACATGAAGCCTCATAGCAGACCTGGTTCCAAGTCATCCCTGAAAAAGCAGAGCTTTGAAATTTGAAAATTTGTGATTGGAGGAGTCAGTGCAACACTTATATATTAGCACAGGCATGTGCAGTTACAGAGAGCACAGTAATGACTTGGAAAGATGTTGGATTTCATGTGGATGTGGACAGACAGAAAACTAGGAAATGGCTTTTCCACTGCCTTGCTTTTGGTGTAGGAAGTTGCACTTTTGAAAGTGTGGATCTAAATAACTGCAAAATTAAACCATACAAAAAATGCATGGTTTTATGCATTTTACTCACACTGTGATTGTGTAAATAAAACCCTAGGGACACAGCAGAAGGAAATCAGGCCGTTTTATGCTGTTGACTACCTAATTTAATCACTGTTCAACCCAAATTCAGAATAACAGGGTTTGGAAAACAAAAACCAAACCAACTTAATTATGATGAAGTAATGAACTTAAATCACTAGACATAGGTGAGGCTTCTGTAGATCAGATGTCAGATCTAATATTATCACAGATGCCACCTAGTATTAGCAACACTTTCCAGGGTTCAGGAACACCGGAAGGGCTTTCTTTTGACTTAAACCATTGCAGCTTGAAAACTGATTTTCTAGCCTTCTGCCAGTAGAAGTCAGAATAAGGTTTAGAATATGATTAGTCCAAAATATAAATGTTTGATATTGCCTGGTGGTTTCTTATGTTGTTTTTTTGTTATGATTTTTTTCATTTGTTTGTTTGTGGTTTTTCATTTTGTTTTTGGGGGTTTTGTGGGATTTTTTGGAGTGAGGTATTGGGTGGTTTTTTCCTATAATTACTTTTTGAGAATAACTTATTTACATGTTTGTCTGTTAAAAGCTGGTGATAGCTCTGTTAGTTTGCATTAGACTGTGAGTACTGTCAGTGGAAATAAACCTGGCATTCATATTCTCCTCACAGAGCCTCAAGTTTTGCTCTATCAACACTTTTCTTAAGTTCACTGCATTAAGGATTCAATATGACAAGTGTGCACCTGGAGGCAAAGCCCGCTGCCTTCACTCCCCTCTTTCCCTGAAACCCCAAGTCTTTAATTTTCCTTTGTTCAGGATAAAATGATATGTAAAGTATGTGTTGCCATGGATGCGAAACTGAGAGGCTATTGATCCTCCCCTTTTCCAGGTAGATTTCAAGCAGAATATGTAACATCAGAGGGTAGTATGGCATGGATGCCAAGACAGAGACATATTGGGGAAGGGAGAAACTACTTTAAAATTGAAGTTCCCATAGCTCAAAAGTGTCTTGTTGAAATAAAACAACTCTTTTGACCCCTGGGGAAATTGCTGGACTTTTTCTCCATGTGCTCAGCAGCATTCCTCTGCCAGCACTGCCTCCCCCCCTCCATGTGCTTCCCACCATGCAAATGACATGGTTCATTCCCATTTCCCACCCAAACCCACTCAGATTTGAGCTGTGTCCCAGATAAGATATTTGTTGTGTATGCCACAGATTACGGAACAATGGCATTTTAAATGCCATGCTAGAGTGCTGTGAAGATGAATGTCTGAGAGTGCTGCCCAAGGATCCCCAACTGCTGAACAGCCCAGCTGGGTCAAGCTGCCTATGCACCTAGGGCAGGCAGGTAGGGAGAGTGGAACACACCGCCACTTATGGCTCAGGGACTTCTGGAGATGACACCTCAGCCACTGTGTTCTTCTCTTGCAGCAGATGAGACCATGCACCTGGTTTTCGTGAACAGCACATGGGGTAGTGTTGAGCTGCTGCAAGAGGCAGTCATCTCACAAGAGTGCTACAGTGCCAGAGAGGGACACAGTCGGGGTGTGGTATAAATAAATCCATTTCAAAAGTTAATTTCAACCTTATTTTTTATGCCTATTGTATTTCCCATGGCTTTATACCCTTTCCTTTCAGCAGCAGCGTACTTAACAGAACGCCAATTTTCCATTGCAATTATGTTGGACTGTGACCTCCACAGAACTCCATCAAAACTGTTTTATTTAATTTTGTCCAAAGAGTGTAGCATTGCCTCCATAGACTTGCACCAAAATTGACTCATTTTGCTTCAGATTATTTTTTCCCCCACAGGATTGCATTATTACAGCTTGAGCTTGTTCCTCATTGCTGTAACGAGACACTTTATTCTGACCTGGGTTATGTGTTAAATGCCTTTTTAGGAGATTTTATATTTTTCATTGTGGGGTGAGCTCTGTGTACCTGTGAGCAGAGTGCTGCTCAGCAGGGCAGGGCTTACAGTGCAGGGGGCCAGAGGAGCTGCAGTTGGGTGAGCACAAAGATGAAATTAGCTTCTCGTTTGGGTAGCTCGATGTCTCTGGGGGCAGGGGAAAGGTGAGGACATCTGCAGAAGCAGCAGGGACCATTGTTTCCCTTGTTTCCAACAATCACTCCGTTGTAGGGCCCTTGCTCCTTTGTCATTCATAAGAGCTACTGCAGGAGAAAGGCACTTTCTTTTTTCTGACTGAAACGGGCTTTAATAAAGCTATTGTGTTTGATCGCTGGTTAAGGAAGCGATAATTTAGCATAATAAAAAAAGATCATTAATGTTCAATGAACCTAACATTCTGCTCCAGTTTTTGTTGCCCTAGAGAGATGGAGTAAACTCTTCTTCCTTAATTGAAGACTAAATAGAGTACATTTCATTTTTCATTTCCAGCACTTTTTCCAATAGGCTTGTGATGTTCACTAATGTGTGCTGAAAGGGCTGGACTGCCTACAAGCAGCAGAGAAATTGGGTGGGAGGGTTTAGAGCACATAAAAACTTGCTTGTTCCTCATCAGACAGCTCTCTAGGGCCTTTGACTTCTTTCTTGACAAGCCTCGTTTCTAAAGCCCCTAAGGACCGTGCCAAGGAGATGTGGTACTCCATTACATTACAAAATAGAGAGGAACAGAAGACAATGCTCACATACCTAAATGTCCCATAGCCAGCCCTCCATAGGACAGCTACATCAGGAAGAGACACTGCTAAAATTTGAGTTTGGATGGCATTTTGACTGCAAACGCAATTTTGTATGAAAGCAAGCTGATAAATTCTTACAGGCATAAGGTTTGCATCACTGCAGCTCTGGATTCAAATGCCAAGGCCCACTCCCATGAAAACGCAGCCATTGTACTTTGCACTGGTGAAAGCTTAGGGCCACCTCCACCTCCATGGATCACTTCAAACACTTATCACCATCATTTGCAGTCACCTGTACCCATCTATCCTTCCAGAGCCACAGCACAGCTCCTGTCCTGAGCACTCCCCTCACATGGGGGAGTTGGGTTGGAATGTGCCTCTGCATCCAATACTCCATCAGTATTGTTGGGTGCAAGGCTGGCTCTGGCTGCTGTGGCTTGTGCGGGAGTGAGCTCCGGCCATGTGTAAGACAAGGAGGTGAAGCACATGGCAGACACTGCTGTTTCAGCTCTGCCCAAGCAGCTTGCTCACTATCTGCAGGCAAAAGGTGAGCTGCTTCCAACCTAAGCGCTGGGCCAGCTGGACCTGACTGAATTAAATGCCTGAGCTCAGCTGTCATGAAACAAGCAACTCCACAGAAAAGCTGTGGCACAGCTAATAGCATCCCTGTAGCCTTCGTTTAGTGCAGTAAAAGAGGGCACCACCAAGGACCATTTTTCCCCTAGAGTCTTGCTTGATGGATTTTGCAATCGGACAATGCACCATCCTCATTCCCTGCTGTGCAAGAGCAAAATTAGAGGACACAATGATCAGCGGCAAGAAGCAAACTGAAGCAAACTGGGTAGCGGTGCTGCAGCAGGAACTTACCCTAAATAAATAATAAAGGACTTCCAGTGCATGTTGTTACACTGCCTGATGTTCAGACCAGACATCGTTGATAAAAAACACGTGAACTGCAGTAACAATTAACAAGATTAACGATAATCTCTTGTTCGGGAGCCACAGCGAGTCCCTGGTGATGCACAGCGGGTTCGCTGTCACCGAGGGATCTCTGTGTGGGCGCGAGTGGGTGTTCGTGCGGGCATCGCGGGACGCCAAGTGCTTGGGCCCGCGGAGCGCATGTTTAGAGGATGTCTGACTCCTCCGAGCCGAGGACCAGCGACAACCCAAACCCACCGAGCAGCCGCGCGGCATCGCCGGTTTAAGGCTCCCCCCCGGCCCCGGGGGCGGAGCGGGACGGGGAGCGCCGGGCGGGGGGTGCGCGGGGATCGTGGGGCGGCGGAGCCTCGGCAGCGACAGTGGGGCATCGCGGGCGGTGATCAGGCATTTCCTCAGCTGCCCAAAATAGCCGGGCAGCGACCCGCGGTCGCGCAGAGCCGCGCGCTCCGTGGGCAGGCACAGGTGCCATGCGGGGGGAGAACGGATGGGGACGACAGGAAGACAAGGTCAGGGATGGTCTAAGGCAAAACACTGCCGTGTGAGTAGGGGTAGATGTCACCAGTCCAGGGCAATGGTTGCTTTCCATGCAACAGCTGGGAGCTCCTGGTATAAGTTATAATTGTGCACGAGGCTCTTGATAATCACCGAAGTGTGGGTTTCCTTGATGTCTGTGCCACCCAGCCGGCCTCTCCTGAACAGCTCCAGCCTCCTGCCATGTCACTTCAGGAGGTGGCTGAGCCTGCAGTCCTGCCCCGTCAGGTGGCAGCTTGAGGGCTGTTCCAGGAACCTGCTCGTGCAAGATGCCCTTGTAACCCTGGTAGGTTTCATCATATATTTCCCAAGAAGTTGCTTGATGGCTGCATTACTGAAAGTCCAATAAAAGGGCAAAGCAATGGGAGGCTTTTAAACTATTAAACTAGACAGGGGCAGGAAGGATACTCAGAAGAACATCAGGAATTGGAAGTTTATTACTCAGTTGACAGCTACATTATTTATTAACAGACAAAATGATCTGTGCAAGAAGGCAGCACTCCCTGTGTTCCCCCATTTTCCTTCACTGCTGGATGCTTTAGGAAGCTCCTCTCCTACTTTGGTGCTGGTGAGAGAGGGGAGTGGAGCGGTTCAGGGGGGTCTGTCAGCAAAATATCAGTCCTCTGGCCTTCAAGTTGCTTCCAGCCACAACCAAAAGGCTGGTGCCATGTGATGACTACCATGAGTAGTGCCTGTAGCATAAGTGTTGTCTCATCTGGCAGTGTTAGCAAAAAGGCTAATGATGAGGGTTTTTTCCCAACTGCTAGATGGTGGGAAAAACATATGATTTAGCATATTTTATATGTAAAGTACGGATTTCCATAGGGTTTATAAAAACAGTTCCTGTTTTGTGCCCAGGGTCTGTTGTGATTGCAGTGGAAATTGGGCATATTAAAGTTGTTCTGAGAAATAAGACCTATTATCTGGGAGTATGGAAGAAATGTAACTTCAAGTCTTCATCTAGGAAGTAGGCTGTGTTCTTTCTTTAATGCTTTAGTTGCTCCTGAAGATCAAGGCTTTTCTTTTTTCTAAGGGAAGTGTCACACCACAGACCCATTCATACAAGCAAGATTGCTATATAACTGTGTTCTTCTTTGTCCTTGTCTCTCTCTAGCATTAAGCAAACCAAGAACTCCAGAAAATCAGGGAGAAACATGGCTAGCTGAGTTGGGATTTTTTGGAGGAGGCAAGAGTCCCTTGTTATATTTTGTGCTTTGGTTCAAGCTGCTATTAAAAGAATACACTGATGCTTGAGCCCTTGTGACAACCTCACCTTCTCAAGGTCTTTTCTGGAGTCTAGTTTGGAGCAAAGTGATCTCTGGGGGGCTTGGTGTTGCAGTGAGATTACTGACAGTCCTCTCTGTCATGGAGTGCCCCCTCCTCCACCCCAACTCCCTGGAAGTTGTGCATAACCTGCCTTTAGTCCATGCTAACTCTTACTTAGATCATAATGTACACAGGTTAAATTAATTGAATGCTACTGATTTATATATACCCACATCTAATCATTATGCTCCCATCTCCATTAGTGAAAAGATTAATACATGCTAGCTAAAGCTTTTACTTCCTCGGAGAACAACTTTTCTTGAAATAAGCTAGCAAGCGTGTGTTCATCATGTGTCCTGCTGACACCCTCCCAGGTACTTGGTTCCTTGCTGTACCATCTGTGTGAGGTGGGCTATGGCTGAGGACAGCCAGGTAAAGTTGTTATGAGTTAGAAATGCTCTGTGGGAGAGCATCAACATCTATGAGTTGGTAGGCTTCCTGCTGTGTGAAGAGAGGGTGGGTCAAGTAAAGGCCAAATAAGATGGATTAGTGTTTGTGCATAATTCACATTGTTGGCTTTGTCCAGGCTGGAAAGGCTTTAATGGCTAAGATTTTTTTAGCACTGGGATAGATCACATTGTCTATAGTGTGTGTTTAAGCCTAAAGGACTTGCCTCCTGTCCCTGCAGAGAAGTGCCCCTGCATGTTGCCATTGTGCTCACTTATTACATTTATGACTGCTTACTTTAGTAGGCACTAAAAGTGCAGTGGGTGCCCCCACGCTGCTCAGTGGTCAAAGCTGTGGAGCTACCAAAGTGGAACCAGGTTGTTGCTGAAGCTGGAGTCAGGTGGAACTTATACACATATCTCTGGATTTCATGTTCAGTTTCTGCAGTGTCTCTTGAAAAAGGGAAGAATGTTCTTGTTTTCCACCTGTATCAGGGGGATGTTAATGGACTATCAGGATGCTTCCTGACTTGTTTAAATCATTCTGCCTTCCATCTTGAGTATTACCAGTCTCTCAGGTCACTTGACACTGATGCTGCTTGCTTTCTGGAAGCAATCCTGCCGGCGTAGTATCTGTTATAAGGTTATGGATTCTTTTGCTTGGCAACTTGGGGCACCTGTGTGAAAACATTGTGGCTTTTGATTTTTATCTCTTGCTGCTGTTTATGCTTGTTATGTCACAAGCTGATTGCTCAAGTGATAATTGTGCTGTCCAAAGTGGAGGATGCAGTACCTAGGAAGTCTAGTGATTGGCACTCCAGAAGCATCATGAGACTTAGAGCGAGAAAGACGGGTAAGGAGCAGAGGAAATTCATTCATTTCCATGCACCAGAATCCCAATATATGTGAAGTAGGATTTCATTTTGTTTTGTGACCATCTGGTAAATGATGTTTAGAAGGGCTCTTCAGCAGTGGGATGAGTACTGTGAAGTCAAAGAGTCTTGACGTAGTGGTAATTGGTGGGATGGCAAGGATTCTGATTCCTGCATCAGAAGGAATTTTGTTAGGGTCGATCAAGGTGCATCCAGAAATCCCCATATTGTTGGTTATGTTGTTGGAAGCCATTAGTGCCCTTTGGAGGTGATCTCCTTTCCCACCTCTCACTGTCTCCAGTAGTGCAGTTAGTTTAGCCTGGTCTTTACCCCACACTCACTTTGGAAGGCTTCTGTATTAGCATTGACCACCCTCATTAGTGCTGTGACATGTCCTTCAACATGGAAGGTTGAAACCATGGTTAGGTAGGATATCTACACCACTTCTTTTTTTCCATTGTGAGTGGAGGTAAGAGCCAAAGTGCCTGATAGCAGATGATGCCTGTTTGATGTAGCAACCTCTTGTTCCTGGTGAGCCGTAGTGGAAGGTGGTATCAGGATAAAGAAAAAATAACAGCATTTTGATGTAAAAATCCAGTAGTCTTGTTAATATGTGGTCTGGATTACTGGGCAGAAACACAAAGAGGACCTCAGCATTCTTCCTGCTTTTCACTGTGTGAACAAGAGGGAGTTTGTCAAGAGTGATATCTGTGAGGGGCTAGATTTGGCAAAGAGCCTTAGTCATATCTCCTAGCTTTGAAGTTATCAGGCAACTACTGTAATATCAACTACTCTTCTGATTTAGGGCCTAGGCTTCCCCTGTTATATGTGAGAACAGTTACTGAGAAGGTGATTAAGGAAACCCACAAATGTGGATCCATGAGGTCGACAGATGCTTAGGAGAAATATATAGTTTAAGCTTCCATGCCAAGGAGAACACCTGGTTCATATTGGAATATACAGCAGTGAATCTCCTTTTTCTGTATTCTGTCTAATTATTTATGCATAGACAAGGAGATACCGAGTCCTGCCCCAGAGAGGCCAGCAGACTAAGAGCTGGATCACTTCCCTTGAGAGGAACTGGCTTCAGGTCTGTCAAGCAGAGAGCATCTGAGCCTGACCTTTGTTGGAAGCGTGCTGGCTATGCAAAACAAGGGGATCGTGAAAACATTACTTCATTTTGTTTTACATGTGGTCTGCCTGTGGCAAAGGCAAAAGAATGGTTCAGTGGATGAATTAGATGGGAAACAATGTGCAAGGCTGCTGCCAAGCTTTTTGGTCTCTGAGACTTAGACAGTCTCTGAGACTTAGACCCTGCTAGAGAAGGGAAAAAGTGTATCTAGAGTGTTTTGTTGGTAGACACTGAAGTGTCTTTAGGATTAGGTGGGAGGTTGAGAATTGACATTTTGGAAGTCAGCATTTGAATCAAGGTTTAGTTATCTAAGCCTCCCTCTAGCAAGGTGTCAGGACATTTTTCAAATTCTGTTCTGTTAAATACTGTAGATGAAATCAGAAAATGCTCCTGAATAAGCTTTGATTAGACTTTGCCTCAACTCTTTCATTTGTCAACAAGCTGCTGCCTCTCAAGTAAGAGCAACAGTTTTTTGCAGGGAGTTGTTGAAGCGAATTAAACAAATATTTCAGGTATTCGTTAAGTGCCTCACACTTCACATTTTCTCTCCTGAAGATTGAATCCTTGATTGCTTCCTTAATTAGTACTTTTAAAATCTCTATTCCCATTTATAAATAAATCAAAATAGATATTCAGAGTATTAATTCATCAGGCACTCAATGTGCGTCTTAGAAAAGCAAATTTAACACCTGTGCCTGCAAAGAGTGAGTGCCCCCCACAAGCTCCTGAGCCACTGACTTTGGCGGCGGCAGTGCAGCATCCAGGAACATCTCTGATAGCCTGACTTCATTAACAAGGATTTAAAAAAGCCATGAGAAAAATGAATTGCCTGTGCAATTACATTTAATTTTCTTTCTAGAAGGTTTCCCAGTTCACTTGGCAGCTATTCTTTCTTCCTTTTTTTTTTTTCTTTTGCCAATTCATGCTTGCTTTCATTTTTTTCCCATTCTTTCTTGGTCCTTTTGACTGAACAAAAGCAGTCCCACAAGGGCAGGCTAATGTATTCATAGTTTTGCTGCAACTTGGCTGATAGAATAAGCTGAAAAATTGCTGCCTCCCATTGTTTACTGAGAATCTTTGTTGTGCTTTGTAGAGTTGAAATGAGTGCTGTCTCGTGCCCTCTGCTCCCCATCCTTACAGAACAGAGCCTGTTGTGTGGAACCTGTTCAGGCTGGAGATGGTGGAAAGGCTAAAGTTCAAGTTCACAGACCCAAAAGTAAGTTACAGAAGTGATTGCTTGTTTGAGCATTTGCTTGCTTGCTGTTGCCTTTCATTCTCCTTGATCTAAGTTCAGTGTATTGTTAATGCCTGTATGAACATTGCATTAAACTCTAATTAAACCTGCCAATCAAAAAACCAGAGAAAGCAGGCTTCTAATGTGCTTAGTATTAAGTCGTATTTTCACCCTCACTTTCTGACTATGAACATTTAACTGTTATGTGAGGGTTTGCTGTTGTTTTGTGTTTTATTTGTTTGTTTTTCTCTGAACTGCAGACAAATACTTAATGAATTTTTACCCCAGCATTTACCTTAATGGCTAGATTTTGTTATAGAATGGCTTTGGGCAGTTATCACATGAAAGGTCCAGACTTTACCAGGCTGTAGCTAAGGTCACACTGGAGCATCATAGAGAACTCAAAGCTGTTCTTAGCTTTTCATGCAGTGTCAGAGAATGTGATCAGGAGGGGTGAATACAACAAATCATTCTGTAAGGTCTTTTTGTAAATAGGAGAGAAGGTGCAACACCTGGAGTACTGGATCCTCTATCTGACATTGGAGCAAGAGCCACCAATGGTTACAGCTAGTGTAAATCCTAATTTATTAACCAAAATCCAAAAGTGGAAGTATCAACTGATGTGGCTTTGGACCTTCCACTGAGGCATCAAGAGAGAGAAAGCTGCAGGGCAAAGCCACCATCTAGTAGTACCATTTTATAAACGACCCTAAAAGAAGAGAGATGGCTTCTAATCCACAACATATTTGTAAAATAAAGCATATTGGTAGGCTTGAGATTACAGTATTTGGTACAAGAAGATTTTCGTGATTGTAAGGAAAAACAAATAGGGATCGCACATTACAAAAAAGTCCCAAACCTCAAAGTCGGTAATAATCTTCTCTTCAGGAAGACACCAGAAGCTTAGCTGCCTTCTTTTGATATGAATTGAACAGGATAAAATAATAGCATAATCCAGAGACTAGAGTGACTAGAAGCTACCCCAACAGGTCTTTCCCATCTCTAACCCTCAGCGTCTGTTTTCCTTTGGAGCCCAGTGGTGGTTTCTGCCCTTCAGAGCTGCTGAGTTGCACACTTTAGTGTTTGTGAAGTTTGCATCAAGTGTGGAAGTTATGTAGCAGTGGCAAGCCAAAGCTAGGCATATGAAAGGCCATGAAGGAAAATTGTATCTGAAGACATGCTGCTCCCAGATAGGTTATCCTGGCTTATAAGACATCTCAGACTAATTAAACTTTAATACCATAGTATTAGGGAAGGCTGACAGCTCTGGTCTAGCCTGACCCATTTCTCAATGTGCTTTTGTGCCTGCCCCATTTTTTTCACCTTCCTTCCCCTGCTGTAATCCTTATGGAACATCTGCCCTAGCCAGGAACAAACGGCAGCTTGTTCTCTGGGTGCCACGTCCTTGTCGGTACGCTCAGGTCCTGAGATCCTTCCGCCCTTTGTTCCTCTAACGCTTTACCCCCGCCCCCAACTCCGTAAGACTTGATTAATCCAAATGCTGAAATCCCGCAGGTGGCTGTAGTTATTTTTAGCATTAATGTTAGAGCTCTGCAAAGGGTAGATGAAAGTTTATGCTTTTGTCTCCTACAAGTCTCACAGCTTCTCCTTTCTCTGCTACAACTTGAATGGATTCCAACATCCCCCCAAATACTCAAAATTGCCTTTTATTTCTTTAATTGAAGAGCTGTGAAAACCAGCAGTTTTGCCTCATGACCATGGGGCAGAATGGGTCCCAAGTCCCTTCTGGAGTTCAACATGTTCAGTTTGTGTTTGCAGACATTAAAACTCATAAATCTTCATCCTGGAAAGAGCCTTTTTAGCACTTTCTGTTGCGGGCTGGGAGAAGAAAGATTGTTAAGCATGTGAGCACTGAAACAGAATTTTCATAGTGGAAACTTGTTTTATTTTCTACTTTAATGTTTTCATCCACTGTTCCACTTCCTCCTGCAGCTAACATACCTGTCCTTGACTTCAGCAGGCTCCCAGTTTGTGCTTGTGTTGGTGTGGATGAAGATTTTTTTTTTTCAGTAAAAAATGTCAAGAATGCATTTGTGTCTCTCTCTGTTTGTGTCTTGTGCGTCATTCTTCTTCCTGGGCTCTGCACATTCAAGCATGACCATGGTGTTACAGTCTGACCGGACCCCCACTTAAAATGAATTTGATGCGTCAGGGAGACAGATGTAATTGCCATATATTTTCCAGCACATGTTTAGGCATGCATGTGTGCCCACTTGTGCCAGTTGGGACCTGCTGTTTTCCCATTTTCCTCTCCGGCTTGCAGTCCTAGTTCTGCTCCCCATACAAAGGGAGGGCTGCAGTCCTGGTCTGTGGGGGCACAGAATGTTCCTTGATGAAGAAGCAGAAAAAGTTATTGATTTCTAAATTATTTTACTTTTCTGAAAGCAAAATAATTTTGCTTTTCTGAAAGCAAAATTTCTCTATTTGGTGCAGCATTTTCTAAAATCTTGAAGATTATCAGCAATACCTAGTAATGTACCTTTGCAGCAATGCTGTAGGCTTTGGGAATTTTGGGGTTCTTTGTTGCTCTGAACACATCTGTAGTTGCTGTGTTAGAGGATCCCACCTTTTCCTCCACCAAGCAGGGTTTGCAGTGTGGCTGTGCTGCACTGCCAGCCACTGGAGGGCTAAAAAACTAGGGGTGTCTCCAATTATACGTATTATGTGTTTCCCCATACAAACATGAAATGAATATGCTGAAGCAATTAATTAGACTTCAGCTGGCAAGCTTTCTGGAGGCTGTTCAAATAGGCAGCAACAGTTGCTGGGTAGGCTGAGAGGGAAGTAAGTTCAGGGCATTTGTTTTGTTTAACTGGTGAGGAAGACACAGGCAAGCTGAAAGGGGAGAAGATTCATTGATCTTGTTTCACCTCAATGAAAAAAAATTTAAAAATTTGAGACATCTCTATATCTTCTTTTGTTTTAGTGTTGCCAGTGGAGAAATTAATCTTTTCAACATCTGAATAGGATTAAAAATTTGCCCTTACTCCCTACCATCACCAACACCTTTTTTTGGTAGGAATCAGTGAGTTGATTCTGATAACTTCTGGTTTGGCAAATAGTGGTTCTTTTGCCTGAAGAGCTGAATGAGACAACTGCCGTTTTGACAAGCAGACCAAAGCTGTCAGGCTCCTTTTCCCTGTGGGCGGCTATACTTCATGTTCCTGGTGCCAAATAATATTTGACATTTAATTTAAGACCCTCAGTGCCTGCATATAAAGCTTTACTATGATAATAGTGATAAAGTGTCTGAGTGTTGGATTTGACACTCGTTTCTTCCTTTGGGCTGAAGGATATGACTTGAATTAAGCAGAGGAGAAGACTTAACCCTGAATTTTTTTTTTAATGAATTGAGGAGGCCTGACTTGAAGATAAAGATCTAACTATGATTTTTATTCTGGCTATGAGATCTTTCACTGGCTACTGCTAAGTTGCAAGGCAGAATTTATGCAGAAGAGAAGGAATGGGTGAGGGATAGTGTCAGCAGAACAGAAGGACCTTCTGTTTGTAATTCGTCCACATACTGTATTGACCAGTAATGCATTTCCCACAGAAAAAAAAAAAAAAAGGCACTAATAGCATCCACAAGGCTGTGTTTGTACTGAGGAGATAACTGGATTTTTTCTGAAATCACACTGAGCTGCATCAGTGTTGATGGTGCGTTAGTCTATCCTGCAGGCAAAAGTAGGTCAGGCCAGCAGCTCCCAGGAGGAGAGGTCAGTGATGCCATAGCAGCTTGTCCCCTTGGGGAGCACAGGCTGCACTGTTCTGGACGGGTGCGATGGAGGAGCAAATGACAGGGTGTAGTGGTTTAAACCTTGTTTTGCCCCAGACACAGGGACAATATGTCTGTCTTTCATAAGCTGTCAAACTTGGAAAGAGCTGAGGTGGTGTGGTGGTTTGGAGCTGGCTCCCTACTAAGTCTCCAAACCCTACTGCAAGAGCTCCCCCTGCAAAACCAAGGGAAAAGAAAAAAACCCAAGAGAACCAAAATAAGAGAGAGAGAGAGAGCGCTAAAGCAATATATAAATATATTTACACTTATATTACATTTATATACAATTACAAAAACTATATACACATAAGAAAGAAACCTCCAACACCCGAAAACAGAAAAGGGAAAGGGAAAAGGGACTAAACAAAAAAAACCCTGAAACAGGTATACACACTCAATAAAGAACTAGCCAAAGAAAACCTTAATACTTTCCTTGAGATAGCACAATCGTGCCAAACGCCACCACCAAGCCACCGGACCCGGGATCGGCAGAAACAACAGGCCCCATAGACCCAGCCAGGCCTCAGCTCCCCCACAGGAGCGAGACCGGCTGCGGGAGTCTCTAAACCTTGCCGGAAGAGAAAAGAGGAAGAGGCTTCTCTCTCTGTGATTATGTAAAGGAATAGGATGGAATACTTCCTTCCTGGTTGCCCGGAAGGAAGGCCTAGACTCAAAACCATTACAGGTGGTAATGCTGGGGCCCAAGTGGTATCAAGTCAGTGGCGCATTGTCCATGTAGGTCTGTTCCCTGGTGTACTTCCACAGGCTCTCTGCAGCAGCAGGAGTTGAACCTCCTGGTGTCAGTGACTCAGGATCTTAAACTCGCTTGTTATTTTTCATGCCTAGCTATCCTGCCTTCTGACTGTACCCTGAGTTCTGGCAAAGGCAGGCTGATTTACTCTTTTGATCGTACAAAAGGTGGCACAGAAACAGTCGTTGTCTCGGGAGATACAGGGACAATCAGAACTGAGCTAATTTTTTTTCTCCTTTTGCCTTCCACCATTTAAAAATACCCTGCTACTGGGATCAACACCAATGCTTTGTCACTTGTGTTCGCTGAGCAGTGAGAAAAAGCCATGGTGAGTCATGCTTTTAATGTGGAGATTAAAATAGTATTTGTGAGTGTGTGTTGGAGACAGTCCTTATGCTACTGGTGGTAGAAAGCAATTGGGAGGTAAATTCTTAC